ATGAAAATAAAGTTTCAATACTTTAAGATGCCTGACCCATATCCTGTTGGTAATGAGGTGCAGTGCTTGTGAGTAAGGATTGATTATAAACCCATATGCTTACAGCAGGCGGAATAACATAATTAGGTCCTATAGAACCCCACCAACCACCATACCCCGGCGCTCCCTCTTTCATTACCTCTAAAAAGAATGTTTTTTCCAATAGAGGAAAGATCGATCGTAATACGAATGAATACCTGTTTATGAATATGAATACCTATTTAGCCTTTTACCGAGTAATTTTATCCATGACTTTCCCTTAGTTATAGTGCAGCATGATCTCTCACTTTAATGCTTTTTAGGGGGAAGACGGGCTTTTATTTCAGTCAATTTTTTCTTTATTTCCTGAAGAAAAGGGTGGTATAGGAATTTGCTTTCGAAAAGTCTAGTAGATGATGTTTTTAGTTTCAGATCATTTTTCTCTTCAGTATTAGAATTATTTTTATATTTTGTATTAAAAGAGACGACCATCTGACGTTTCGGAACGAACAGCACCAATATTTTGGAAGTTATTGTGGCAAAGCGACTGGAGAAACCATTTTTGTAACTGGAAATAGCGTGGTAATAAAATTTGAGTCTCGTGATAATTTTACCAGCCGGGACAGGGGATTCTCTTTGTATTTCGAGGCTGCTGATCTACCTGGTAAGACAAAATGATAGCAATTTAGAGATAAATGAAGGTGGAAAGTTTCTAAAGAAATTGTGGTACCGTGTCGTTGAGCAGTATCACAAGATAATTTGGTTTTACCAATTGAGATTGACATCTTGCGCGTGAAACTGAGGAAGCTCGAATCACGTCATCAGCCCGATAGTGTCAATATTTGTTATATGGAGAATAATACATGAGCGCGCGTAGATTTCAAATTACTCTTCGAGTGTTCAACTCGATAGCTCTAGTTGAACACGAGAAGAGAAATTCCATATCTAGAAGCAATCAGGTACTATTTTGTTCATCATATAAACACAGTAGCCCTTTACTGACAAGAAAAGCCAACTTAAATAATGAATGAAAATAAAGGAAACGACAATTCCCGAAAAAAAATCACACAGTGGGCTGTTGCCAAGGATGAAGATGCAAAAATGCGTTGAATCATGATTACAAAAACAATTATGGGTGTAATTTTCAATTTACAAAATTCTTATTCATCGACTTCTTCCTTACCGACAGAAGAAATCTTTCAGGTAAACGGCCAAATCAGGCTGTGGCAAATCTTCCAGTTGTCGATTTTTTTGTTCTCAGCCTCGAGAAATGCCATTACCAAAGCCACTGGAAACGTAACTTTCGGTTTTTCTTTTGGTATACTGGTTTTCTTTCCCTCATAGGAAAGTGATACGGTGTCTGTAAGTGATACGGATTTTTCAGTGTTTTAGCTACCATAATCCGAGAAAAGTTCGACAAACTACCTTGGATTGAGAATGGTGAAAGCTTTACCGTTCATTCATCAACCTGACCGAGCGCGCTAAAGGCGAGTGTCAGCAGCTGGTTGGCGATATCAAATACACGTGAAAAAATATCTTATTTTTTCACGTGTGTTGTGGCGGCTTCTCTCAGGGCTGGAAATCATTTTATAACACTATAGTTTATATGATCAAAGAAATTTCGCCATGGCTGATTGTGTTTCGTTTTCGTTAGTTCAACCGAGAACCTGTCCATCCGGATGGTATTATCAATATGGATCATCTTGCTACAAATTTAGCTCTGAAATGGTCTCTTGGTATGAAGCAGTGAGGCGATGTAAAAGTCTTGGAGGATTTTTGGTGAAAATAGGTGATGCCGATGAACAAAGTTTCTTAACGGATAGAATCAACAGCAGTAGAAAAATAAAGGTCTGTTTACAACTACCAGAGTACCATTTCACGATGTCATTTACTCTATGGCAATGGTCTGATTCAAGCAATAACTCCAACTTCATCTCAAATAACGAAGATGTTATTTTTGGTCTATTCATCTATAAACAATATATTAAAAATGTAAAATACATTAAACTTTCCTTTCAGAATTGCTCATCAGTGAATTATTATCGATTTTATCTACAAAAGATAAAGTTCAAATATAAAATCAATAAGCTTGATTAAGTTTTTGATTGCCGAGCTCCTCTTTCTACTATTAGTCAAAATAATATCAATACTGCAATCTACAATTTGTAAATTAGGCGAAATTGTTAAGAAAGAATTGGTTCATGCTTAGCGTGTGTATATCGAGTTATGGATGCGCGTGGGAAATTTGGAGAGCACGAGGGAAGCATAAAAGTTACCCGAGGCGAAGCCGAGAGCAACTCTAGCTTCTTGAGTGTTATGGATGCACGGCCATGCATACCAAAGGATTTCTGCCATGCTAGCTTCTAAAGGAATTGGGTAGGACTTGCGCGCGAGATGTGATATAAAATAATTTTTACCATAGTAGCTCCGAAGGAATATTACGTTACTTATGTTATTTCATTATCAACATTTAGAAATGTTAAGACCTAAACATTGTGATTGTGTTGTTGCAATATTTAATTCTTTTCTTGTCTAAAGGCACTTTGGATTGGACTTCATGATCTTGATGATGAAAATGACTTCAAATGGGAGCATGATAATACACCTGCCAACTTCTCTCACTGGAATAAGGGTGAACCTGATAATTCTGGTGATGGGGAAGACTGTGTTGCAGTCTCTGGGATTTTCTTGTACATGTACAGTCAACTATACCCTCCCGGCCGATGGAAGGATATGGACTGTGACAAGAGTGCCCCTTACATTTGCGAGAAAAATATTAAGCGTAAGTAAGCCCACTTTGTCGAGTCTTCAAAGCATATTTTCTCTAAAATGTATCTTTGTGGCATCCTGCCTTAGAGATGACATTTTGCACGGAAAAAATGCGCCTCATCCAATATGTAGGGAATAAATTGAATATTTCTGACGTTCATAAGGTTGGAGCAAAGAGAGTCGCTTAAACTTTTGAAACGGAAATGGTTGAAAATGAACACAGGTATAACAGTAATTCTGCTTTACGAAGTTTCAAACAAATATATGTTATTTGCCGGCTGGGAGGTCCGTATGGTAAAAAACTGTGACCGAGGTCTTGAAAATACTGCCCGAGGCTGAAGGTCGAGAGCAACATTTTCAAGACCGAGGTTACAGTTTTTCACCATACGGACCGACCCTTAGCCGGTAAATAACATGTTTATTTCTTTTAAACTTGACGAGATTCTTTCCGAAAGAACCCGAATGATTTAGGGCTGTAAATACGGTAAGATCTTCCATAAACTGAACAATTTTTGAGCGAGTAACTGGTTAAAATAGAGGTGATGCAAATTAAAGAGAGATGCCTCACCGAAACATTTTCATTTCCGCAACGATAAAAGTGATTTAAAAGGCTTCTTAACAAACTTTGAAACATTATTTTTACAAGTATCTGTCACAATCAGACACCTGTCAATTAGAGAGCGCGTAAGAAAAGAAAAGCGCAAGAAGATTTGAAAAACAACGGAGCTAGTTTGGCAAGAACTGTGACGACAAAGTTTTCTTCAAAAACAGTCAATGATCTAACGGAAAGTATTATTCACTTTCATCGACGATTCATTCATGTTCGAAGATTTACCTCTGTTCATTAAGGAAACGGCGAGGAAAGTAATTGTGAGTAAATTCAATTTTTTTAATTTGAAGTTATGAGAGTTTGCTCGTTTGTTTGCTGCAATGGCGTGTGTAAATCTGGTCTTTCGTCCACAAAAACTAAATTCGAATATCCGACGAGACACAAGGGGATTTAATGCAGCCTTTTCTCAATAAATTCCTTCAGTTTCTGTTGTGCAATTTACGGTACAAATGTCCAAATTGAACGGACTTGGAAAGACCCACCGGGAGCGTATATTTGTTGTAGAACTGAAATTAAAACCTCTCTCGCTCTTTCACTACGAAAAATTTGTTTGAGAAAATTCAGATATTAAATGAATGAAAATTCCATCGTTCAGTTAGCTGTAACCAAATACCTCACGTTTTAACTTTCTAGGTATTTTTTGTGAACGATTA